ATTATTTTCGAATCTATGATAGGCTTTTATAGCTGCTAGCGAACAATGAATCATCGTTGATTTGTCCGCTTTCATTGTCCACTATTTCAACTTTGGCTCTTTGAGGGGGGAGGGCACTTTTATGCATAGGAATTTTACATATACGTCTTGCTTTGCCAATTCAGCACGTTCCAAAGATCGAATGTAGCAGAGCAGCCGTTGAACCACTTGGTTTCTGTCTATTTCTTTGCAACTCTTTACATGTAGCTTTACAAAGGAAACGAGTTTTTTATAACATTCAATTTGTGTCCGAATTACATTCTTAAACAATCACAATTATGATCTTTCGCATACGAGAAAAGAGCGGCTCAAACATATTGCTATAGACTTTTGCATGTCCTGAGTTTCCAGCCTCACCACAACAGCTTATGAAAAGAAACCTGATGTTCGTTATTGATTTCAGGATTCAATACAATACACTTTATTCTTGACATAGAAGATGCACAAGTAATTGCATTTTAAGGCAGCTTACATTTACGCCCAGGTTTTCTGTCATAGGCACATGCAATTGTACATGTTAATCATTACTTACTGTACCGATTCTCGAAATTGAGAACTGACAGATGCGATGGTCCGGAGACGTCTAGTGTATGCTTCCAGAAGGGAAAACGTAACAACTGCCTCTCGTTCAATCGAGCGGTCATAAACTCCACAAACAGGCAAGAATGACCTGAAAAAAATATATCGGCAGACTTTACTCGATACATGCTATCTACTGTTGAAGCTTAAGGGTTATTACAGGATCAAAAACGCCGTAGACACTGTGTGAAGCGTCTATCTCCGCCATCTGAAAGGGAAAGCAATAATGGAAAGTGAGTGATTTCGTGCAATCAGAACTGTGAAATCAGAAAGTAAACTGAAACACGTCGGAATTCATAATTTCGACTAATGTTTGTTATTGTACGCTCTGACTTGAGGGTTAGTCAAAGGCTTGGCGAAAATAAATCTCCGGCCGCAGATCATAGCCACGTGTGTGTTCCCAAGCAGTCTTCGCCGAAACGGCCCATTCCAATTGGTGGCACGAATAGTAAGCCTGTATTAATTTCGGTATT